AGCTTGATGAAGTTAAATTTTGCCGAGCTCAAGTAGATATCTCGTTGTTATACAGGCCGTTGGCGACTTGAGAGAAAATAATGACCTGCTAAACACAATGGGGATATCATTTTTCCCCATAGGATAATATCTAGATACAATAAACCTTGTTGCAATTTTAGGTGAATGTCTTCTGCTATCTATTTAATACTCCTCCTTATTCTATCGTGAGATATCAGTGATAAACTCGCTTTTGATCCTCTTCTGTCACGTTTATTTTACGTGTCCTCTACGCGGAGCTCTTATTTGTTCGGTGTAACCTAATTGCCATGGCCGTCTACTTCATCCTCCATACATTACCTACGAACAGCATGTTCTCTAGGTATCTCCGAGAAGATACAACTGAAAACCCGTTCAGCTTATTAGGGGTCCTGTCAAGAGCATTCTAACCTATTGCCTATTTAAAAATGTTGCCCCGAAGGCCATAACACGTCCGAAACACACTATGATCACACCTTGGACTGATGCCTTGTAGTCGCAATGGAACGTAACGGTAACACCTACTTCTTCGTTATCTCACGCATTACGTTAAATCTAAACCTAAGCTGTAATGTTGTGCAATTATCGCTTGCATACAAACCGCGCGTGTTGCTTTCTTCGAAAATCTATGATGTCTTTAACATAATCCAAAAATGTAAGAGATGATCGAGTTCCATCGAAACAGAAGGCTGAAGAGAGAGCGATTTGGAATAATGTTTTTGTTAGTTCGTCCAAATACATTAATTACCAAAGCAAATATCTCGAATGTTTGTTTAGGTAGTAAAAAATAAAAAAAGGATTCTGTTATTGTGTACGGAGCACTGATGCGTCTAGCCTCTCGGTGAGGAGAATTTTTTTTCGTTTTCCAGCACCAGCTATTTCCAAGTGCTTTGCTAGACGCAGCGTAAACCGTAAATCTAAATTGTACCTTATTTTTCCCACCCTTCCGACCAACATGAATCAATCGTTACCAGCTTGAAAGACCGAACGTACTATCAGCTTTTCATTTCCCTAAACAATATGGCATCATTTTGCTAGAATTTTAACAAATAATCATTAACCGTTCAGGTTTAAAATGCTATGTTGACATTCAATTTTCCATTCAGTGTTTTGAGTTGTCAGCCGTCTCACTGTCCCGTCGAACCTTTACCAGCCAATGGGCCCTAATGCGTGTTCGTAGTAGCTGAAAGCATCGAGAAATGCCAGCAGAGGATCCAGTTAGCCAATGAGATACGAACTCACGCTCACTGTTAAATCCGACCGTAAACAGAAGTTGCAATTACGGTAGCGATAGTTGGTACAATGCGTCTCTACGCTCGTTGATAAAAGTGACACTGCGTTGGTGGGCATCAGGGAAAGCACGAGAAAACGACAAAGAAAATCTCGAGCGAACTCTAATTTCAAGGCGATGCCTAGTCAGTGGCCTAAAACGCTTCTCTTCGTCTTCTTCTGAATGACTCGAGCAATGTCCCTCTAGCTGAACTCTCCGCTACCGTTTGCGTCGTTCGTTGATTGTCAGTGTGCAAAATTCACTGTCCGGCACATGATGGCCTGCGGCACACGATGGCAGAACTAGAAGTGGGAGACAGAGTCGCGACGAACCACAAACATCGTCCTTCATTTCTTCCTACATCACGACGATGAATGCATTCAAATACGCCTGTTCCCCCCAATCTACCCCAACTCGAACTACTAAATACTACCATTACCATTATTAGTAATGGTGCGACTGGATTAACAATAGCCCGAAGGCGGGAGCTGGCGACACGACCAGCGATATACACAGCAATCTGACACCGGGGTAATTGGGTTGCTGTGTGTATCCAGCGTCGTATAATCGTACTGCTGCTACTTGTGGGATACCGAAGTCCATCCAATTCTGCGGACCTCCGGCTGGCGGCGACGGGAACGTGAGACTCTCACCAACTGGTGTTAGCTACTGCTTCAGAGCGTACTTTGCGCTGTTTCTTTTAAACGTCCAACGATCTAGAGCAGGCGTTCAATGCATCGACGACCGGCGCGGCCAAAGTTGCAGAGTCTCTTGCTCTGTTTCTTTGCTCTACCCCCGCTCTACCCCCGTCACTCTCTATGAATCCACCGATTTCGCTTGCCGATTTGCTCTTCCCCCGCGTCGAGCCATAGCTGGCATGCGGTTCTCTTTCGGGCTCTTCGTGCGCCAGCGTACAGGCACCCGTCATCGCTGATATATATCCTTATGCGTTCCGAGCAGACTATATAGATGGCAGGCTGTATCTTAGATTGCGGAGTTCTTGTCCAAATCGTCGTGAAGATGCTAATCAGTTGTCGATATTTGCAGGAGAGGCATTAGGCATTTGATCGAGAAAAATAACTACCCGAAGAGGAGATAACGACGAGTGATATCATTCTTTGTATCGCGCTCGCTGTATGGCACTGGCCGAGATATGCCGGATGGCAATATGAACACGATCAGCCTACCTAACGATTGTCGGGAAATTTGGCGACTATAACGTCAAATACAACATTATCGCTGGTCGAGTATTTCCGAAATAGACAGGTAACCAATTAAAGTGGATTAGAAGGTTATCAACAGTGAAAACCTAGGTGATGTAAATGTAGCACAGATAAATTGAGCTAATCGAATTATGAATCAGCGTGTATCTATGGGGTTTATAAGCAACAGATATGATAAGCACAGTTGTAAGCACAGCATAATTGTATTGGTATGACTGTGATATAGATGAAGGGATGAGGGTTTATAGCTACCGCTATTTAAATTCGCCTCCTACATCGTAGTGCTAAATGTATTAATTTTTTTAAGTTTTGGTATTACCTTTGCTGATTTATTCTGGTTCGGGAAATCGAAGAGGTCGTTCGTCTGTCAAGGTGGAGAACTACTTTGTTTCTATAAATTATTATTGTCACTACAGCAACGAGCTAGACTCGGCTAGGGCAAGCAAGGATTACCGACAAAAGTCCCTCTCCAGCCTTGGACAAGGCGAAAATAAATTAAGATCATCAAATTAGATAACACGAGCCGCAAACGCTAAGAAAATACGAAGAGTCTACGAGTGTAATTTGTAATCAATGAATATTATAGATTATGAATAGCAATTTGTCTTCCTTTATTACGTGAATTCTTAATTTTTACACGAATAAGATTTTTTCTGATCTAGGAGTACATAATCGAAGTATGTAGATAAACTGGACTTATCTCATAAGCTCCCGCTAATTCTATACACGATATCAGATGGTCTCACCAGACCCTTTTGTTAGGGTGTGTATGGATAGCATTTCCTAACAAGATGCACTTTGTATATACCAGCCTAAATACTTTTAGCTATTACGTTAAATTAAGCATAAAAAAATTAGGCTGCAACTTCTCGGAACAAAGGCCATTAGGGCCTTGCTGCTGACAGCGAAAAGAGACATCAGTTGTGGTAAACGAGCTATTAAAATACACGAAAGGGCCTAATATTCAATAAATGAATTAAAATGGTAGACCGACGCTTGTCTAACATCCAAAACTGTAGCTGTAACATCCAAAAATAGCTGATAATTAGTTAGAACTAGTAAGGCAGTCAAACAGAGAAACAGTCCCGTGACTCATCTGCTCTTGATTTACGTTAGCTTTTTTAAGGTTGCCCACTCATTATTTTTCTACATTCTTAATTAATAGCTTCGTAGAGCTAAATTATCGAATAAATTCAATAACTGTCGTAAGGCTCATCGAGTCCACGTTTAATATCGCGTACATGATCTTCAGGTTCAGTAATCTTGTCAAATTATGCCTGCTCCTTGCATACATCTATAATCAATCATCCAGTTATAAACCCATACTTTTCTATAATTGAATACAGTTTGACGTCGACTCACTTTCCTCCATTTTTCCAATAACGAAGCTCGCTTTTCTCTCACTAATAGCAAAAAGACTCAGGCATTTATCAGTATGATGTTATTGAGCCGTAAAGGAAATCATAAGCTTAGAGCATAGCTAATCGACCATTGCGCGCCAGACAATAACACAACGTCGTTTCCTGTAAATAAATGGCTTTAATACTTTTATTTTATATATGAATTGATTTTTAGCTATATTTGCGCAGTGTTGCTTAAAGATAAAAGAGAAGTTTTTAATTTAAACTTCAAAATAAGCGAAGCACTTATTCGATCTGAGTTTATCAATTCGAATTGTTTTATTCATAATAATGTATCTGTTTGGGAGAAATTTTGCTTAAAATTACAATACACGCAGTACACGTGGTCTATGGTATACGTGCAACTATAATCATCAATCGAACTGCTAAAACAGTAAGAATATAATTGTCCGAAAATGGTGTTTAAAAAATGGCCCAATTAAAACTTTTCGAGCATAATGAATACATTCCGAAAGTTCTTTGTGTTAGACATTATCTCAGGAAGCTAGTTCCCAGTATTTTCGTCCGATTTCGAAGTTAGGCCAGCATGTGTCTGTCCTCTGGTTCAGTAACCAAACGTGTTGCCACTAGAGTATTTCGAAAATTCTCGAGCACCATAAATCGTTATAACTGTACGCGGTACTCAGCGGGAAAATCCCCTATGGGCATGACAGTACAATTCTGCAAAATAAGTAATTAGTCCATCTTCGTTTTGAGGGCAGTTTATAGAAGGTAGGGAGGTATTGCGCAAAAGAGTATTTGAGGAGGTCTACCGCAAATAGATTGTCTTCGTCAGTATATGCAATAAGCTACAATGTCGTATACGTTATAACTGAGGCAAGCGATTCTAATATTCCAGTGATAGTGTCTGAAAAAGTGCTTAAAGTATTTTTTGCTGAAGCCTGCTAGAGCTGTCCACACTGTCATAGAATGCTCATCTTCTAGTAGCTATAAACAAGCGGAATGGGGGATCATAATTAATTACAAACTAGCTTCATTTAACTAAGTGAAGATTTATATAGAATAGATCTCTGTCTATCAATCTATATATCTAAATACAACTTTATGGTGTGAAGAAATAATACGAACATTGATCGATACCCGCGGCACGTAGATGCATGCTTGAATGTTGCATATCACCAGTACCGTCTTGATTTTCGTACGGTTGAAGCTTTTGTTGATGCTTTTGCTGCAGTGTTTGCTGTTGTCGTCTACTGAGACCGAGAATTGCGTCAATTGAGTACGTTAAACTTTGGTGTTTCTCCTCACTAAGTGCCATTTTGCACGGTTGCATGCGTTGTCTGTCGTAACTTTGTCTGAACAATCGTTTGACGCAGATTTTTAACGTAGCTAGACACAACTTTTCTAGTCGAACCTACAAAAACATAAACAACCGATTTTTTAGGGATTGAAAAGGATGAACAGCTATTTCTTCTGACCGTAGTTGCTCTTTAAAAGTGCTCATATTTGGACATAGTGAGCGCAATAGTTGAGATTCAATGGACCAGAAGCGAGAAAGAAGGAAATGCTAAACGTTTTTCCTTTTCCTTTTTTCTAGTTATGGTTTGAAACTGGGAAAAAAGGTAAGGCCACTTCTATTGTGTGCTCTTGAAACAGCACTCCCTCAGTTGCTTCTTGACCATCGATTTTACCACATGCAAACACGTCTTCCTCGAACGCCTTCTGACTCCCGATAAAAGTAAGCACCAATTTCTATCACCATCAGTTGTAATAATAACTGGGTTGAGTTAAGGACCGCATGTTGGTGTTTGTGAACTCCTTCAGGCCCAACTGCAGCACATTACTACCATGAGGACGACCACCTGATGACGTCCTTGTGCAGGGGATGACAACGAAGAAAAGCAACACAGTTGTCGTTCTATTTTTCTGCTCGTAAACCGGCTTTCACTTACGGTCACAATCGCAGACACGCACGCACGCACGCACGTAACGAAGCAAGTGCACCACCACGAAATCTCACTTGCGCCACGCTGTCACTGTCACGCTGTTCATGTATCAGGAGTGCATCGTCAGCAATGTCTATGAGGCGCAACACGATTGAGGACGGGACCTTTGCTGTTCTTTCTAATCACAAACGGTACTAATCGTGGCAGCGTGAACTAGCCACCGTTTGAGTGGATGGACAAGACAATAACGCGGTGAGGAAGGACACGTTGACTTGTTCATGGTTTTATTTTCAATTGCGTTCGTTCGCGCACGCACGACAACCCGCGCGCCGGCGGCATGAGCGTTCTCGCGGTTTCGGTGGGGCTAGCTGCGCGCCAACGGGAGGGGGGTTGGGAGAGTGTTTGGGGGGAGGGGGCGGAGCCTATTCGTTTAGCCTCCCAGTGCTAGTCGCTGTCGTTTATATCGCATGCCATAGCGCTATAGGGCACCCAGCTCGGTGGCAGCGACGGGTGCCAATGACGGTGGTAGCGGTTTAGGCTCAGTCACCAACAGGACGCAAGCGGCCGTTCATGGCAAAACTGCTTCAAGGCCCGTTTCGGGCCTACCTTACGGGCGCATTCGCCGCCGCGCCTTTGGGATAGAATGAGAGAAGAGGAGAGAGACGGAAAGAAAGCGTTTACATTCGACACAGAGAGAGGGGTGATGGGTTAAAAAGGGAGAAAGAGGGAAAGGGTCCGTCTTGGGCGGGGCTAGTTGAAGTGAGAAGACCCAGTTGAGTCAGAACTGAAGCCGGTCGTGGACGCCGCAACTGCTGCTAGTAAACCAGCTCGAGGCGCGGCGGCTGCGAGGTAACGAGGGAGGGAGGTAGCGCGCTTGGGTATGAAGGGGGTTCGAGTTGATGATAATGCTATAATAGGGCTCTGGCGGTAGCAGCGCTTCCATCGACTCCTTCTACCAATGTACTACTGACTTTTGCTGTGTAATGGAACTTGGGAAAAACCAGGTGGTTGTTGTCATTATCAACAGTTGTCTCAAACTGATGCCCAATCGGCCGACAGTAGCTTTAATAAATGGTAAAAGCTTATTCGAAGTGCCGTATAAAAGTAAAATTAGAATAAAGCCGAAAAATTAACTGACAATAGAAAATTATAGGGTAATTATCTTCTATGTTTCAAAGTACCAGAAATGCATACACTGTTTCTCTGACGAACGTGAATATTGAAGGTATTGGAAGAAAATTTGTCGAATATATGCGATAAGAGAATGAGTAGCTAATATATTTCGAGCTCCACATCCGGAGCTGTGCTGTTGTTACTTTTGATCTCTAACATCCAAAAAAACGGGTTTATTCTAGTGTTCGAACCTAAAAATATACATATTCATAAGTTATTTTTGAAAAACGATTTATTTATTTAAAAAAAAGATTGTAAGTTTCATGTCGGAGGCCAAAAGCACACGTCCATAACCATTATGTTGAACATCATATACCCGCCGCTATAACGTATTCATAACTTGTGCACACCATATAACACGAACGACAGACAAAAGAAGACTGATACGATATAACTTTGACTCACTTTAAGGGATAATAGACAAAATGTGGTAACCGGAAATCTATCTAATGTCGTGGAAGACTGCCAATTTGTCTTCTTAAACACAAAAAAAAAAAAGGCCAGTTTGTCTATTGAATACAAGAGACAAAGCCACGGTAAAACTATACCCAAGAAAACATAGTAGATAACAATAAAGACGAAAAATAAACAAATAAACAGGAGAGTTTTATAAAAAAAATTTCATCAGCCTTGGAGTTCAAGAAGAGAAATGTGTATATATAAAATAGAATTTGTAATGCACGAGGCAATTAACTTGCCAAATGACCGTAGCGGTTCTGTCGGTGTTCCCTAGGAACATAAAATACGATCATACATTAAATAAAAAGCGCTGCAACGAAACGACCATGCCGGATGATCTGGAGTCAACCATCATTCGAAAACAGGTTCGAACTCCAAACAGTATTACAGACATAATCAAAACCTCAATAACGGAACGTTGATTCCGCTTAACTCTCGAGAAAACAAAATTAAGGTTGCCGAACGGCAGGAAAAATGCCACGTTAATGGTCACACAGTCCCCCACAAGAGGAACTAAAAATACTCGGAGGTCATTATAGATGGTTCATTCACAAAAACAGCTCACCTAAATTCGAAAAGCAGTTAATAACTTAGCAAGGATCAGGTCAACAACATATAATCCTGATGCAGGCGCAAGAGAAGCGCTAAGCAGAGCTGCTGATTCCATCGTGCTACATGACCGACTACTCTGAAAAGCGGCCGCTCAAGGTCAAAGCAATATGCATGAGCTCCGGAAATATCAGTGGAGAAGAGTGATACAAGCTGCTCCAACGCTTAGAGCAGTTTCAAATGTGCAGAGATAGAAGAGAGAGGGACGAGATACAAGAAAAAAGGGGCCAAAAAAGCTGCCGTCCGCAACACTACACTCGATAAGTGGTGAGGAGCCCGGGCCAGCTGATACAACACCGCAGGTCGAATAGCTGGGGCAGTCGTAGAAGACATCGTCATAATTTCTACGTGGTCCAAATGCTAGGTGGGGCCAATTGTTTCGGGGAAGGGGGTGGCTGGCAGCAGAAAATCTGTAAGGCAAAAAACGATATCCGCACCTTCTGCGAAAAAAATGGCCTGCAACAATCATCCATAAAGGCTGGAAATACGAGAGATTAAGGGGATACGAGAACGGCTGACCCGTAATATTGGGAATGCACCAAATCAGTAGGTAAATATGACACTGGACATATATGAGGATGATCGAGCCATGAAAGTATGTGTATCCTGAATTCTAATGAAATACTGATAAATACGCAACAAATAAATACAGTAAACGAGCTATAAAAGACTAGATATTATTAAAGAACTACTGAAATTTCTTTTCGTGTCGTTATTTGCCTAAGGATGATGAAACTGACGTGTATCAAGGGTCTTTCAGTTCCCACCCAAACGTTTATTTACTTGGCGGCAGTGGGGCTTTAATGAGTAAAAATTCGTGGTGCTTATGTTTTTGTAAAGTAAGTTAGTACTACATAAAGCATTACACCACTAACAATATTCTCAGCAAAAATATCACTGTTAAATATTAATTTGTATATACGTTTTATGCTATTATGACAATACATTGCTACTGACGTGTTTCCAGTGATGTCCTTGGCGTTTCGTAGACGATGGAGATCTATAGCTTTTTTCTTTCTAAAGCGCGGAAGCCCGTAAAAGCAGATTGCGAGCTCCATGCATGCTTGTTTTTAATGGAAGTTTTTCTCGTAGTTTCCATCCTATGTAAATTGCTGAAGTTTTCCAGCTGCCGTCTTGGCATTGTTTATATTTATCTCACGCACGTTTTATCGGTCATCACATTTTTGCAAATAATGGTATGTGAGGACAGTGAATAAAAGTTAACTTTAAAGTTTATAAGTTTTGAGCACCTTCGAATTGATTGAACAAGACAATCGTTGCTGCTGATAAGGGTTGACTATAGATAAGGCTTCCAGGGCGAATCCGGAGCTATTGAAGATTATCACGCTGCCGGTTGTCTGATCTTCAATAAGGCACGACACGGCCTATCAATTGCAGTAAACATTGTGTCGTTGAACTTTTGCAGTTAAATGTTTCGCCCAACGGCTTTTCTAGTAGTATTAGGCCTACCCTAACTTCATCCCGCTTACTAGATCGATCGGTGAAGATGACCCTTGTGAGCACTGTGACTGGTGAGGTAGTGGAAATGTCCACAGTGATCTTCACCAGCTAGACATCGTGACCCCTTTCCTGCTAAATCTGAAATGCTACTTGACATTAATATGTATTCTAGTGTCCCCATCTTCCCTAGATTTAGAGAAGTATCTCTCTAACAAATTTGGCTGCTTACTTTGTCAAATGCGTTTATATATATAAACTGGCGACTTAATATAAATAAGCGACAAAAGTAAAACAATATCTGTGAAGACAACTAAAAAAAAAGTAGAGAAAACCTAATCTCTATGTTCGTAAACGTAATACAAAACAATCATCGTTTGTATTGGCCCGGGTTTTATTGTTAAATGCAAAAAGGTTAATCGTGTTGTTCGAACTGCTACAGAAAGGATGCGTGAGCTCTGTATCCAAATAGCCATTTGAACGAATTTCTTCTCACTGAATTCGATATCTGTGTGTACGTTGACGCTGTCCGTACACGAACGTATCGCGTGTTCGCTAAATACGAGTTCCGTGTTTACATTCCTTAAATGTACGTAGCCGGATTAGCGACTCTCGACACGTCACTACTATCGGCTATCAATAATTACTGGCTTACTATCAACAATGGTCCAGCGATAATCTATGTCGATAATTTTCGGATAAACCGAGCACAACCGTTATGACCATCCATAGATTTTCTTATAGGGAAAGCTTACTCGCCTAAAGAGTTCAGCACAAAGTCACAATCAGGGCTCTTAGGCTTTCCTGGCCAATTACACACTGGTCAGCGCACATGGTTTACCTCGACCGGCTGGTATTGTTATGTTTCAATTTGCCTAATAGCGATTGCTAGGTGGGCAGAAGATAAAGGAAACCATTGATGATATTCTTGGCTTAGCTTAGGTATCTGGAGGACGATGACAGCTCGAGCGACAGAAAGGTGATGTTCCGCAAATCAAGTTGGAAACCATGGTAGAATCATATTAAACGTACGTCTATATGGGAAGCCACTGATAACACGAACAGCAATATATGGCCCTTGAACTCCCAGCAATCAAAACATAGTCCAGCATACATAAAAAGCCAGTCCGGTAATAACCCACAAGGTTCTGGGGTGTATCTTATATTGCTACTATACTCCTTTCTCCAATCATCTCTATCTCGCTTTTCTTATCACCATCTGCACCGCTTCAATTAATTTAATTCGTTTTTATTATCACGACCTCTGTTTAGATGAGTTTCACTCCGTGCCTCCATTGCCGCGTACTCGCCCACACGATATCTTTGATAAGCCACATGATAAGGACAACTGAGAGTTGCACGAGCAAGTTGAAATACGGTCCACCTGGATCGCGAGCTATAATGCCGTTCAACTGCATCGCAGAGGGCCTGACCAACTTTGAGAGTGTAGAAACAACGAGGTCGAGCTTTTTTTAACAGCAGTAATAATAACAGCAATAATGTGTGATTTGTATGTAAGTCTGTCGTGGACGAACGGACGCCGGTCCTTCGGATCTGTGACCCTCGCAGAGATATGGGGATGAGCGAG